AGCAGAGACAACATCGGCAGCAGCAGAGACAACATCGGCAGCAGCAGAAACAACATCGGCAGCAGCAGAGACAACGACAGCAGCAGCAGGAACATCAACACCAGTCGCCGGTCCTTCAACGGCACCGCCCTTCATCGACGACACGCCACCGACACCCGCGCAGCAGCTCAACCCGGCATGACAAGAAGTCCACCAAAGTGCAAACGTCACCGCCGGCTTCTACTCCAATTCCAACATGTATCGCCGCTCACCCGGACATCGCGCCACCGAAGGAACCTGGCACGCAAGAATGGGACATCCAAGCAACACAGTGTTAAACAACACGATAAGAGCAGGAGTGCTCGACAAAGACTCACTTCTACTGACCGACGGCAGAGAACTTCAACGAGCTCGAGGAACATGCTTCACTTGTCCCGAAGCAGACTTAACGCATCAACCGTTCCCATCTCATCACAATCCAAGCGCACCAGCGTACGCGCCACTCGAAAAGGTGTACAGCGACATCCTGTACAACCGCGAACCCGGACAAAACGCCTACAACTACACGATTACCTTCATCGACGCCGCGACCAGATACGTCTGGCACGTCAACCTACCAAGCCGCGACATGGCCTTCGAAGCGTTCGTCGCGTGGCTTCCTGCAGCAGAGAGAGAATCGGGCGTAAAACTGAAAAGCTTCCAGTCAGACGGGGGAGGAGAATACACCTCACAGAGGTTCAAGGACTACTTGGCAGAGAAGGGGATCAAACGGCTCATCTCTCTTCCCTACGCCCATCAACAGCAAGGTGTAGCAGAGAGGATGAACAGGACACTCCAAGCCACCATGCGCAAACTGCTGCGTGGCATGCATGCTGCTACCCAACCACCAGTGGCCCGAAGCAATGGACCACGCCGTCATGCTGCACAACTTGCTCTCGTCATCATCGCTCCCGAACAACGCATCACCGCACCTGCTGTGGACAGGAAAATTGGGCAGCACAAAAATGTTACGAGTTTTCGGGTGCATGGTACAGTACCGACCACCATCTGCACGCGCCGGTCGATTCTCCCAACGAGCACAGTGGGGAGTACACCTGGGCATCGAAAAACACTACAACGCGTGGAAAATCTTCGACATCAACAGTAAAGAAACAGTCGCAGCACGTGATGTCCTTTTCTACGAGAACCTCACCCTCGACGTTCACCTCGCCTACGTAAGAGCAAACAGACCTGATCCCTCGGGCGGATTCACTGGAACCCGAGCCTTCGCTTCGGCGGAAGACGAAGCTGACTGGGACGAGCAGAACGTGGACGGAGCCTCGGAAGAAGCCGGACCACTACCACACTGCTGGGTAGACGTACCAATGGACGACGACAACCCTCGCGAAAGCATCAACGCCGAAGTCTTCTACAAGTTCGCCGACGACGGTTACGTTACACCCGAACAAGTCAACACCAACGAAGCAGAACGTGTAGGGCCCAATTTCGCACCTGACCCAGAAGCTGGAGACGAAGCAGTCTATCCCGAGGACACCACACTCCCCCGCTACACACAGAGTGGACTCCAAATCCTTGGACTCGTCACCGCAGTCCACGGCGCCGACATTCCTAGGGAGCCTGCGACAGTTCAGCAGGCTCTGGGGGGGGAGCACAGGGAAAAATGGCGCGAAGCCATGGACAGGGAGCTGAAGGCCTTAGAGGAACGCAACACCTGGAAGGTCGTCCCTATCGGCGTAGCACGAAACAAGACTATACTCACCGGAAAATGGGTCTTCCGAGTGAAGACGAAAGCAGACGGCACCATCGACAAATTCAAAGCACGCTGGGTCGTACGCGGCTTCGACCAAGAGCACGGGCGCGACTTCACCGAAACCTTCGCTCCGGTCAGCCGCCACACCTCGCTCCGAATTCTCCTCGCGATCGCCGCCATGAAGAAGAAGAAGCTGCGGCAAATCGACGTCGCGAACGCGTTTCTTTACGCACCTGTGGATGCAGAAATCTTCGTTGAGCTACCGCATGGCTCCTACGGAGAGCCCAACCAAGTCTGCCAGTTGCTCAAATCGCTCTACGACATCAAGCAGGCTCCACGACTGTGGCAACAGTACCTGCACGCTCGCCTCATCCGCATCGGCTTCAAGCAACTCCCGCACGACCAAGGCATGTACCGACTCACGAAGAACGACGACTACGTCCTGCTAATCGTCTACGTGGACGATCTCCTCTACATCGGGTCAACCGACAGCATCACCACCTGGTTCGAAGGGGAGCTACAGCAAGACCTCACACTCACGGTCTCGCCTACCGTCACTCAGTACCTCGGCCTCAACATCCGAGAAGAAGAGGACGCAATCTACCTCAGCGCCGAGAAGTACGCCGACACCATCGCCAAGCGCTTCGGTCTCACACCAGCCACGATCTCCACGCCATATCGCTACACGACGGGAACTAACAAGGGGGAATCTGCTCTCCTCAAACCAGCCGGCATACGCGACTATCAGAGGAAGCTAGGATGCCTCCTCTTCGCAGCTGTCACCTGCCGTCCCGACCTTTCATATTCCGCAAGCCAGCTTGCCACCCACCTCAAGAAGCCCGAAGCAGAACATCTAGCGGAGCTCGACCGCGCTCTTCACTACTTCATTAGCACTCCGACGATCGGCTTAACCTACCACAAGAACGCAACTACACCAACTAAGCTAATCGGCTACGTCGACGCCGATCACGCCGGCGACTCCGACAACAGGCGCTCACGCACCGGCTACATCTACCGCCTCGAACCTATCGGTCCTATCTCCTGGCAGTCGAGCAAGCAGGAGTTAATCGCGCTATCATCAGCTGAAGCAGAATATATTGCACTCTGCTCAGCCACCAAGGAGGGACTTTATCTTCGCGAGCTGCTGGAAGAAGCGAAGTTAGCCGAGTTACCCAACTTCACCCTGTTCTGCGACAACCAGTCGGCAATTCGCATCGCCAACAAGAACGGCTTCGCGAACAGGACAAAACACATCGCTCTACGATACTTCTTCGTGAAGGACGAGATCGAGAAGGGGAGACTTCAGCTGTCATACTGCCCCACGTCCGAGATGGCAGCCGACTATTTGACCAAGAAGCTCGGAAAGCAGAAATTCGAGTACTGCATGCTGCTGACTGGACAAAGCCACGTCACCAGCAGCGACACTCCAGAAGCGAAGGGGAGTGTTGGAAACAGTGAAACTTAAGCGCTTCAGTCGTGTCGAAACATCGCACCAGAAGTGAAGAAAACAATACCGAAGCAAGCGCGAGTCAACCCTCGGAGGTTGAGAGGTTGCTGAAGGTTACGCGAAAGTCAAAGGTCAAGCGACCTTTGACCTGACAAGTGCAGCGCGACAGTTAAGGACACACAACTGACTCGTTACAGAGCAGTTGCCCGAGTCGTACTGTATCGAACCGCAACAGCAACAGTAAATTAGTTATAACTGTATCTTTTCGTATTCCTTGTACTACTATATATTCTTGTATCTCCTTGCTATAATCAATCTACTTTGCCCTCACATACTAGCGCAAGGTGGTTCACAAACTCTTCATTAAACGCTTCCGCTATTACAAAGTTCCTACCCAGAGTTCACCCCTGCAAAGATCCTAAGGGCTGTTCTCAGCCCAACAGAGCTAAGCAAGGGCCCTGTGATGTGAGCCAAAAGCATTGAAACCGCTATTTAGTTAATGCTATCGTCGTATAGATTTTTTTACTGGTGGTTGACTTTTTCTACTGTGCCGAATGGTAATCTAATCGTGTGGAAGTTTGCTGCAAATATATTCCTGATATCAAACCCACACCGTTCAGTGTACCTTAGTATGTTTTAGTACCATGAGTCATTGACACAAGTATCGAAACGTGATTGTATGGTGCCTGTCAGCCAGGGCATTTCACACCTACTCCCTGCTGGCTCTCTCGTCCCTCCCGTGTCGTGAGGCTACGATTTTCTCGCGACAAATTCAATGGCTTCCAGCGTCACAACGACCAAGCTAGAAGCGTATCCGTTTACAGTCTTGCCCGTTTTACGCTTTTAGATCTTGCCGGAACATGATTTCTTTGTAAGGGAACGTAGAGCGTGAGGAAATTAGAGGTCGAGAGGCCAAGCAGCGCGTGGCCCTGGAGTTTGCCGAAGAACCAACAATGTCGGTGAATATCGAGTGGCAGGTACTCAGTGGCGTCAGCTCCACGCATCCATGACACCCTTGAAATTTCCGCTAACTAGTTCGTAGTCCCATGATGTGAAGTTACACGTCTGCGTGGCGTACCCTGGAGTTACAACTAGGGGTAACGAATCCGCAGCCACGTGGAAGTTCACTTCAGAGGTCCCAAGGTGGGCCCCGTCTCCTTGGAGCACCGCGCCCGCTGACGAACTTCTTGGTGAAAGAATCCGCCTCTGTTTAGCTAGCGCCACAGAATTAACTTGGCGAGCTAGAGGCAGAGCCTAGGATCGATACGACGGGCTCGGAGCAACGAAGCAGTAGCACTTTGAATCACTGAAAACGCCCGAGAATTGAGAGAGAACTTGCTTATAATATGGAGATGGGTACACAAGTCTTGGAAGGCATGAACTCTCTGTTTCCTCTCTGGAATTTATATCTAAAACATGCAATCTCAATTGTAACATCGAACCGCGCGCGACTCGCGGAAATTTGGACTTGGGACGTCGAATTTCCGCGACCTCCGCGCTCACATGTTCGGACCTTGCCGAGTTCATTTCAACACACCAAATGCGTGTGTTACACGAAGTGGTAGCGAGTGTAGCGAATGGTTCAAAACCTTCGCTAGAACTCTCGCTATTTTCGTGAGAGCTTGTGGGGCTGCCAAGTGTAGCCCCCACAAAGTTTCGGACCCAACCGGGTGAACTTTGGTTGCGTGGCGACGCGGACAATCCGCCGTCACCCCAACCTTCCGTGAAAACACCCCCCCTTGGTCCGAGTCAAGGGGGGTCTTAGCGTGGGGGGCAATCCCGTCCCCCACACTTCCAACACTCCCCCTTGCACCCCACGCACACCTAAGCATGCAAGCCTACCCTAGCACAACATGCATGAAGAGCATCTCTAGGCAATGGCTTGGTAAGGAAGTCCGCGGGTTGGGAGTTGGTCTTGATGTAACGAAGCTCGACTTCGTTGTCTTCAACGAGCTTGCGAATGAAGTGGTGGCGGATTTGAATATGCTTGGTCCTTCCATGAAGGACCGAATTCTTGGCTAGGCCAATAGCGGCTTGGTTGTCCACGTAGATGGGAGTGGGGCCTTCTTGTTTGTGCCCAAGCTCGGCAAGAAGACGCCTTAGCCAAACCGCTTCCGTACCACCACGAGTGAGCGCCACGTATTCCGCTTCGGTGGAGCTAAGTGCAATCAAGTTTTGGCGCTTGCTTTGCCAACTTATTGCACCTCCCACGAGGGTGAAGATATAGCCCGAGGTGCTTTGGCGGGTTGAAGGATCTCCCGCCCAATCCGCATCCGTGTAGCCTTGAAGCACCACGGGTCCCTTCTCGTAGTGCAACCCCATACGAGTGGTCCCCTTGATGTAGCGAAGGAGGCGTCGTGACGCTCGCACATGCTCGACCATGGGGTTGGAGACGACACGCCCAAGCACTCCAACGGGAAAGGAGAGGTCGGGTCGCGTGCTCACCGCGGCATACATGCACGACCCAACGACCGAGTGGAAGGTCTTGGCGCTCTCGGGATCCAATGGGTTCTCATCACTCACGGCCAAGGGATGAAACCCCGCTTCCATGGGTGTCGGTGTAGGCTTGCTCTCGATCATGCCGAAGCGATCCACCACACTCTCCAAGTACTTGTGTTGGTGGAAGGCTAGGGTCTTGTTCCCTCGATCACGATCGATGTGCATTCCTAGGTAGTGGGAGACGGCGCCGAGGTCACGCATGGAGAATTCCGCGGCAAGCTTCTCCTTCACGTCCGCTACAAGGGCCTTGGAATCCGACACGAGGAGAAGGTCGTCGACGTAGAGGAGAAGAACGAGCTTCTTCTCGTCCTTGTTGAGCACGTAGAGCGCGTGGTCACACTCGCTCCGCACGAAACCCAATGAGAGCAAGTGATCGTCGATCCTCGTGTACCACGCACGAGGGCTTTGCTTGAGGCCGTAGATTGTGCGCTTGAGCTTGCACACGCGGTCGGAGTCATCGTCGAACCCGGGAGGTTGCTTCATGTACACCTCCTCCTTGAGACGACCGTAGAGAAACGCCGTCTTCACGTCGAGTTGTTCCACCTCCAAGTCGAGTGCTCCCGCCAACGCCAAGAGAGTGCGCAAGGTAGCGGACTTGGCGACGGGAGCGAACGTCTCGTTGTAGTGAAGACCTTCCTTTTGAGTGTAGCCTTGTGCCACCAACCGCGCCTTGTACCGCTCCACTTCTCCGTTGGGGCCGAGCTTCTTCTTGAAGACCCAACGAGAGCCAACGAGGTAGGCGCCGGGAGGCATGGGGACAAGCTCGTAGACGTCGTTCGCCATGAGTGAATCGTACTCCTCTTGAAGCGCGCGCTCCCATTCCGCCGCTTCCGCCGAGCTCATGGCGCCGTGGTAGGTGGACGGGGTGTCGGTGTACGCCTCAAGACACATAGCGTCTCCCCCTCCCTCATCGTCCCCCGCCACGAGTGAGTAGTCATCGAACTTGGAGTTGGGATGAGGGTTCCTTCGAGTGCGAGTGGATGCGAGGGTGGGAGTGATACGAGGAGGAGGAGATGGAGGGTCACGTTCCTTGGCATTTCCTTCATCCTCACTCACTCCAACCGCACCCGCCCCATTCTCCCCCTCACTCGCACTAGGAGGAGGAGCCGTAGGAGCGTCATCCGCCTCATCCGCGGCATCCAAGGGTGGAGGGACGATGATGACCGAGGGCACGTTCGTAGACTTGGAGGGGAAGGTGTCTTCGTAGAACACCACGTCGCGCGACACCACGAGTTTCCCGTGCTCCAAGTCCCACACGCGCCACCCCTTGTGATCCGCGCTTGGACCCAAGTACATCGCCACCCGCGCCTTCGCCTCAAGCTTGGTCCGTGTAGCATCCGGGACATGGTAGTAGCACGTACACCCAAACGTGCGAAGGTCGGTGACGTCCGGCTTCGTACCGCTCCAAGCCTCAAGAGGCGTCTTGTTGGGCAACGCCTTGGTCACGCACCGGTTGCGAATCCAAGTTGCCAACGTAACCGCCTCTCCCCACCAATGCTTCTCCGCGTGAGCATGGGAGAGGAGACTTCGTGCCGACTCCATAAGCGTGCGATTCAAGCGTTCGGCGGCTCCATTTTGTTGAGGCGTGTACGGCGTCGAGAACTCATGCGCGGTCCCACGCCCTTTCAACCAATCGCCGAGCTCCCGAGCGGTGTATTCGCCACCTCCATCCGAGCGAAAGCGCTTCACCTTGAAGCCGCTTTCCGTCTCCACATCCGCGACCCATTGCTTGATGGCGGTTGACGTGGCGTCCTTGGTCTTGAGAAGCCGAATCCAACACATCCGCGTCGCGTCGTCGAGGAGCGTGAGAACGTAGCGCGCGCCGCCCTTTGACGCGGGAGTGATCGGTCCACACAAGTCCGTGTGAACGAGCTTGAGAGGTTCGGTGGCGTTCGGCTTCGTGCTTGGTGGAAATGGCTTCCGTGCCATTTTCCCTTCAAGGCAACCGACACACTTCTCATCATCTCCACTCGAGCGCACAAACTCCAAGCCGTTGACAATCCCCTTCGTTGCCATAGCTTGAATAGCGTCGTAGTGGAGGTGGCCAAATCGATTATGCCACGTTTTGAGAGTGGTTGTCGAGGTAGCCGCTTGAGCCGTCGCCACACTTGGGAGGGCATCGAGCATGAAGAGTCCTCCCGTTTGGCGTGCCGTGCCGATGTGTACGCCATCCGCCGCACTCAACGCCATCATGGTCCCTTCGATGTTCACACGCATCCCCTTGCGTGTGAGTTGAGAAACGGAGAGGAGGTTGGCGCCGAGCCCGGGAACCACCAAGACGTTCTTGATGGTGAGTGGACCGCCGTCCACCATGAGCCGCAAGTCGCCTTGTCCCGTGACGTCCAACGTGTCACGGTTGCCGAACATCACGCGCTTAACGGGAGCCTCCGTTGTCACGTTGTTGAGAAGCGTCGCACACGCCATCATATGTTGAGTAGCACCCGTATCGAGTATCCACGCGTCAACACCACCGACGCTCGTTCCACTTGCGACGAATACGAACTCCCGGTCGTTGTTGTCGCATGTCGCCAAATGCGCACGCCGGTTGTCGTCGCTTGACGGCTTCCAATTTGCCGGCTTGACGGGACATTCGCGCCACCAATGTCCGGTCTTCTTGCAAAAACGACAAGCTCCGTCGCGCGTCCGAGCTCGATTGGCGTTGGCCGGTCCTCCTCGTGATGAGCTTGAGGCCGCCGCGCTCCCGCTCGAGCTCCCGCGGTTGTTGCCGTCGTTGCGCCGCTTGAAGTGACTCGTCCCTTTCGCCTTCACATCGCGAGAGAAGTGTGCCGCGCCAATTGCATCGCCATGCAATTTCGTGCGCCTCGCCTCTTCGTTGATGAGGCGTGCCACCACTTGCTCCTTCTTCCACGTGTCTTGCGTCCCATCCAACATCGTGATCACGGTTGACCACGCTTCACCGAGGCCCGCGAGGAGCGTCATGATCCAATCGTTGTCCTCCACGCTCGCGTCGAGTTCCACCAAGCGCTCGCCAAGCTCCTCCACGCGGTTGACGTACGCGCGCATTGACTCGCCGTCCCTCATCCGCACCGTGAAGAAGTCGAGGCGCGCTTGAAGCTTGCTATGAAGCGACTTGGAGACGTGCTCTCCTTCGAGTCGCTTCCACGCTTCACGAGTCGCGCCGTCACGGTCGATGCACGGACTCACGATCGGGACGAGTTGGAGGCTTAGCTTGGAGACAAGAAAGGCAAACGCCTTTTTGTCCTTACGCACCCACGCTTCCTTCTCCGCGGTTAAAGCGTCCGACGTGGGCTTCGATGCCGACCCATCGAAGAAGCCCCACAAGTCGCGCTCCATCATATACACCTTGAGCTTGAAACGCCACGAGGAGAAATGCTCCCCGTTGAAAATCGGCACCGCGCTCAAGTCGACAACGTGCGGCGTTGTCGAGAAGTCCGCCGGGAGGGAAGGGGTCGTTGGCGCATTCGTCGTCGACGAATTATCGGAGGAACCCATGGCGTAGCAACGATTGAGCGAGCACTCTTAACCTAGCTCTGATACCATGGCGTCGCCTCTGTTTAGCTAGCGCCACAGAATTAACTTGGCGAGCTAGAGGCAGAGCCTAGGATCGATACGACGGGCTCGGAGCAACGAAGCAGTAGCACTTTGAATCACTGAAAACGCCCGAGAATTGAGAGAGAACTTGCTTATAATATGGAGATGGGTACACAAGTCTTGGAAGGCATGAACTCTCTGTTTCCTCTCTGGAATTTATATCTAAAACATGCAATCTCAATTGTAACATCGAACCGCGCGCGACTCGCGGAAATTTGGACTTGGGACGTCGAATTTCCGCGACCTCCGCGCTCACATGTTCGGACCTTGCCGAGTTCATTTCAACACACCAAATGCGTGTGTTACACGAAGTGGTAGCGAGTGTAGCGAATGGTTCAAAACCTTCGCTAGAACTCTCGCTATTTTCGTGAGAGCTTGTGGGGCTGCCAAGTGTAGCCCCCACAAAGTTTCGGACCCAACCGGGTGAACTTTGGTTGCGTGGCGACGCGGACAATCCGCCGTCACCCCAACCTTCCGTGAAAACACCCCCCCTTGGTCCGAGTCAAGGGGGGTCTTAGCGTGGGGGGCAATCCCGTCCCCCACACTTCCAACACTTGGATATCGAATTGGTCCTGACAACATCGGAGATTCTGCTTCAGAACTTGGTTCGCGAATTTCGTGATATTTAAATGTTGTATTTCCATTCGCACACTCGTTTCAGCACAGGGGTGCACCATCGCCTGACACCTCTGGTTGCAACGCTTGTTCAATACACTTTTTTTCTATGTCCGCCATGAACAAGACTTGCCTGTTATGCCAAAAGGATGGCCGCTGCAACGTTGCTTATGTGTGCACGGCTTGTGGAAGCCTGCACAAGGGCTTGGCTCGCAAAGCCCCGCAATCTCAACGACAATGCGATTTGGAAGGGAAACTAGCTAAGCTGCAATGCTTTGCTCAGAAAATCGAGGGGATGCGGGATGCGAGGTTTTGCGATGTGATACTGCGACCACACGAAGGAGAGAGTGTTGTAGCTCATCGCTGCATTCTCGCAGCATGGTAGTTTCCTTATTTCATTCCCTCCTGAGCGGGTTGCATCAAGTTTACATGCCATTTTTTCCTCATTGTGGAATTATCGCAAGAAATCTGCTCAATTGCTGATCCTGCATCTATTACTCGCAGGTCAACCGTTTTTGAAAGAATGTTTGACAGTGGCTTTGAAGAAGAGACCAAGAGCACTGTCCACATACAAGACATAGACGGGCCTACGTTAGAGAAGCTAGTTTTGTTCATGTATTCAGGCGAGATGCCTCTGAAGATTGATACCATGCAGGTGAGTAAACGGAATTTGAGCTGCATTCGGTTTAATTTGTCAATGGATCCAAAGTAGTATTTCTTTGCTAGTAGCTACTACTGTTCCTTCTTTTTTTTGTTTGTTTGTTTTTTCTTTTCAACTCCCTATGTTGTGCTGTGCAGGTGGTTAAGCTCCTTGTCGCTGCTGATAAATATGAAGTGCTCGAGCTTGAGGATCACCTCTGCTTGTCTATCAGCAAAAACCTTGATGATGACATTGCGTTTGAGGCTTTCAAAGTAGCTGATATGCACGGCGCCCCCGCTCTGCGCCAAGCTGCTGCTGACTATATTTTCAAGAAAATGGCTCGAAAAGCAAGCTCCCCTATAATAATGGTAACAGCAAGCCTTGATATAACATGTGTAGACTTGATTCTGTTGTCACCAGCCTTTCATATGGGTGCATTGGCGTTGTGTGCAGGAGATGTTGCTTGGGGAAGATCTGCAGAACAAGATGCTGGCAGCTGAACTTGTGGGGATGGGGTGGGAGAATCATTAAATGGCATGAAAAATGGCCATCTGAGCTTGTGAGTTTTTTGTTTTTCTTTTCCAGCTTTCAACAGGCAAGGTCTACTTGGTTTCGTCTTAGCTAGTCAGCAGCAGGCTTTGGCTTGTAGATGTATTTTTTTTGTCTGTTTCGGTAGCAATGAGAAGAAATGTGACCACTGGCCCGGCTAAGAAACAGATAATTGCAATTGTGCTCCTCGTTATGGAAGCAAAAACTGATAGGGGTGGATGGGTGTGAGGAATGAGAGGGGTAAACGGGTGTGGGGAATGAGAGGGGGAAGGGGAGTGGGTAAGGAGAGGGGTCAGTTGGGATGAAGAATGAGAGGGGTGCATGGAAGGGGGGGGGGGGAGGGTGGGGGTGGACGAATGCAGGGAAGGGGAGGAATGAATTAGCAGGGAAGCAAGAAATGAAGCTTAAAATGGGAGCGGTGCATAGGAGTAGAGGGGGGGGGGGGGGGGTGGGGGAGGGGGGGGGGAGAATGGGAACGGGAGAAATGAGAGGGGAAAGGGGATGGGGATGAGGGGTGTGAACTGGACGGGGAACGGGAGCAGTGAACAAACTGGGGAACCAGAGTGAATGGCAGTGAGCAAAGAGAGGGAGTGAAGAAATAGAGGGGAAAATGCGAGTGGAAAATGGGAGGGGTAATGGGATTGAGTAATGAGAGGTTTAGGGGGGGTTTAGGGTTTAGGGCTGGGTTCAGGAATGAGTAGGAATGGGAGTGAGGAATGGAAGGGCTGAGTGGGAGCAGGGAACAAAGAGCTGAGTTGGAGCTAGGTGAGTGGGGGCAGGGAATGAGAGTGGTGAACAGGCTTGAGGAATGAGAGGCGTGAATAGTAGTGGGAAAAGAGGGGTTATTACGGGCAGAGAATGAGAAAGGGGAATGTGAGTGGCGAATGGGAGTGGTGAATGGGAGTGGTAAATGGGAGTGGGGGATGAGAGGGGTGAATGTAAGTGGGTGGTGAACAGAGAAGGAGAATGAGAGGGGGAACTTGGAGCTTGATATTGGGGGGGCAGCTGGGATTGGGGAAGGAGAGGGATGCATGGGAATGGGGAATAAGAGGTGTGAATCGGATAGGGAATGAGAGAGGTGATGCGAGAGGGAAATGAAAGGTGTGAAGAGGGGTGGGGGTTTAAATGGGTGAATGGGATCAGGAGGAATGGAAGGTGGGAGCAGCGAATAAAAGGAAAGGACCGGAGCTGGGACTAGGATGGAACCAGGAATGAGAGGGTGGGAAATTTATGGGACATGTCTGTGTGGGATGGGAGGTGGGGAAAGAATGGTAGGGGGGAAAGTGTGACTGATGGGGAAATGAGAATGGTAGCTAAAAGGGGAGTGGGATTGGAGAATGAGAGGAGGGGTTGGGAAAAGGAGGTGGGAGGGCGGGATGGGAACAGGGAATGAGAGATGGGAAAAGGAAAAAGGGAGTGAGTTGGGGGAAATGATTTTGGGGAATGAGGGGGGTGAGTGGAAGGAGGGAATGATGGATGAATGAGAGTGAGGAAATAGGGATGAATTGAAGCGAGGAATGAGTGTGGGGAATGGTGAATGAGGGAGGTGTTCCGGAACGAGAAATGATAGGGGTGATTGGGGATGGAGAAAGAGAGGTGTGAATGGGAGGGAGGGGGGAACAAGTGGGGGAATTAGGAGCTGGGATTGAAAGGGATGAGTAGGAGCGAGGAAAATTAGGGGTAAATGGGAGCGGGTAACACGATTGTAATGGGAGCTGGGATTAGGAGGATGAATAGGAGCAAGGAATGAGAAAGGTGAATGGGGGTGTGGATTTGAGAGGCGTGTAATAGAGCAAGGAAGGGCTGAATGGGAGTGGGGAATGAGATGGGTGAATGGGAGTGGGGAATGTGATGGGTGAATGGGAGTGGGTAATGAGATGGGTGAATGGGAGTGGGGAATGAGATGGGCGAATGGGGGTGGGGAATGAGATGGGTGAATGGGAGTGGGGAATGAGATGGGTGAATGGGAGTGGGGAATGAGATGGGTGAATGGGAGTGGGGAATGAGATGGGTGAATGGGGGTGGGGAATGAGATGGGTGAGTGGGAGTGGGAATGTGATGGGTGAATGGGAGTGGGGAATGAGATTGGTGAGTGGGAGTGGGGAATGAGATTGGTGAACGAGAGCGGGTAACGAGATGGGTGAATGGGAGTGGGGAATGAGATGGGTGAATGGGAGTGGGGATGAGATGGGTGAATGAGAGTGGGGAATGAGATGGGTGAATGGGAGTGGGGAATGAGATGGGTGAATGGGAGTGGGGAATGAGATGGGTGAATGAGAGTGGGGAATGAGATGGGTGAAAATGAATGAGGGGGTTGAATTGGAATGGGCATGAGAGGTGAGAGTAGGGTGGGGTGAAGAGGTGTGAATGGGAAGGGGGACCGAGAGGCGTGAGTGGTGGGGGTGATATTGGTGAATAAGAGGGGCAAAAGGAGCGAGCAATGAGCGAGATGATTGGGAGTGGGAAAGGAAATGGGGAGTGGTGAATGGGGACAGGTAATGACAAGAAGATGCATGCGAGCAGGGAAGCAAGAGATGAAGGTGGAAATGAGAGCAGGTAATGAGAAAGGTGCTTCGGAGTAGGGGAGGAGGGGAGAATGATTGGGAATGGGAAATGAGAGAGGGGGAGTAAGGATGGGGTTGAGGTGAGGGCTGTGAACTGGACGCGGAACGGTAGTGGTAATCAAAACTGGGAATGAGAGGCGTGAATGCGAGTGGAGAAAGAGAGGGTGAATAGGAGCAAGGAATTAGAGGAGAAAATGTGAGTTGTCATGGGCATGGGGAACAGGAGGGGCGATGCGTTTGGGGAATGAGAAGGAATCAAAGGGGGGAAAGTACCGGCCGAGTGGGAGCAGGGAACATGAGCCCTGAGTTGAAGGAGGGTGAGTGGTGGCGGGGAATGAGAGTGGTGAACAGGCTTGGGGAAAGAGAGGCGTGACTGGTAGTCGGGAAAGAGGGGTAATAAGTATCGAGATAGCTAGGCAAGGTTGATTGCATTGTCGAGAGAAATTGGTACAAGAAGGAGAACCCTAAAGTGTTATCCCCTATAACATCTACCCCACTACAGCCTACCAATATATATCACACATATATATCAT